TGGGGTCACAGGAGTGCTGCATGCCCCTCCCATGTGCTGGGGTCACAAGAGTGCTGCATGCCCCTCCCATGTGCCAGGGTCACAGGAGTGCTGCATGCCCAGCTTCTGGGCTCCTTACAACAGTGAAAAATCAGTGATCCAGAAAACTAGTACCAGCTGTGGTGTGTACTTGTAATCCCAGCATTCAGGAGGCAATGGTAGGAGGGTCAAGAATTCAGGGTTATTCTTGGCTGCATAGAGAATCCAAAGCTAGCCCCAGCTATGTAAAACTTTGTAAATTTATCACAACAAAAACCCTGCAAATAGATAATCTGTTTTAGAAAACCTAGGGTGGGCCTGGGGAGATGGCTCAGCAGTTAGGAGCACCAATTTTCCAGAGAATGCAAGTTAAATTCCCAGCACCCACATGGCACAGGAGTGCTACACTCTCCTTCACAAAATCACCTCGGCATTTTAACTCCATCTCTGTGTGTAATAGAAATCTATCAGACATTTGACTCAAATGAGTTTCAGAAAAGCATTGGTACGTTTTCTGTTGAGATGAGAGCTCTGTACTCTGTAGCCCTGTACTGGAGTAGTGAGGGAAAAAGAGGTGAGACCTGAAAGTTGCTCTTGAGCTGCCTTGAGTTTAGAGACAATAGAGACACACTGGCGGACGCCTCCGCTCGTCCGACAACACAGGATGCATGGGCTTCGTTCTCTGTGGACATCACTTCCCAAGTAAGCGCAGGAACCTGTTTGTTCCTGGTGTCAGGTAGTCTCCTGGACAGGTGTTGCCCATACTTTTGCGGCTCCTGCTCTTCCTGCATTGGGGTTTTTTGTCCTGAGTACTGGATGGCATTACTCCACTGTGGTAAGGAACTCCTCATCTCCCAGCTCGCTTGTTGTTGTTTGGGTTATTTTGTTGTTGTTTTCTGTGACATGGTTTAGCCTTGGCTGGCCTGAAGTTGCTATTCAGAACAGGCTGGCCTCAAACCAAGAGATCCACCTGACTCTGCCTTGAGTGCCACCGTATCAGGCCTTTATTGGTTTTTAGGAGCCATATTAAAGGAAAGTGGACAGGCAGGCACATTGCATGTGTGACTTTACCCCTAGAAGGCATCCCAGAGGTGCCTAAGTCTCCATCTTCCTTCCAGTAAGAGATTGTGTTCTGCCTGTGGCGTTAGTGAGCTAACTGTGCGCCTGCTTTGCTGTGAGTGGGAAGCTCCTGTCCGTTTTGACTTCTGTGGTGTTACTGGCTAGAGAAGAACATGTCTGGATTTGGAGAATGACTCCTTAAGTTTATTTTAAATTAAACCCCTTGGTGATAGGGTTTCTGCATATGGAGATTTACCACTTTGATTAGTATTTTAGTGAAGCTAAGCATCTGTTTGAGAGCATTGAATAGGATGGCATCTTGTTTTGCCCAGGTTGATCTTGACCTTCTGGGTTTAGGTGATCTTCCTACCTCAGCTTCTTAAGTAGCTGGGACCACAAGTACTGGGCATTGCTCCTCCTAGCATATTTTGATAAAAAAAAAAAAATGGTGTAGTGGTCCTGAACCTTCCTAATATGATTTAATATAGTCCCTCATGTTGTGGTGACCAACCTTAAAATTATTATTATTATTATTTTTTAAAGATTTATTCATTTATTTATGTATATGAGTACACTGTAGCTGTCTTCAGACACACCAGAAGAGGGCACCAGATTCCGTTACAGATGATTATGAGCCACCATGTGGTTGCTGGGAATTGAACTCAGGACCTCTAGAAGAGCAGCCAGTGCTCTTAACCACTGAGCCATCTCTCCAGCCCCTTAAAATTATTTTATTGCAACTTCATAACTGTAATTTTGCTGCTGTTGTGATTTGTAATGTAAATATCTGATATGCAGGATACCTGGTATGCAGTCCCCAAAAGGGTCAAGACTCAGGGTGAAAACCTCTGGACTGAAGGGTTAGAGCCCAGTAAAGGAAGACTACGACACTCAGCTTTGGAACCAGAAGTGGAATGGTATTTCCCTTGGAGGGGAGCTAGCCTTTGTATGTGTGCGTGCGTGCGTGCGTGCGTGCGTGCGTGCGTGCGTGCGTGCGTGCATGTGCTCGATTTGAATGTCCTTGAGAAGATTGTCCACTTTAAGTAGAGACAGTCTCTCATTGGCCTGGAACTTGTCAAAGCCTGCTTCATTACCATACCCAGCTTGTTGGTTTTGTGTTTTTGAAACAGTTTCTTAGTGTATCCCTGGCTGTACTAGAACTTGTTCTGTAGACTAGGTTGGCCTCAAAGTCAGAGATCTGCCTGTCTCTGCTTTCTGAGTGCTGGGAATAAAGGCGTGCCCCACCATCACCTAGTGTACCCAGCTTTTTGGTTTTTTTTGTTTTTTTTTTGTTTGTTTGTTTGTTTGTTTTTCGAGACAGGGTTTCTCTGTGTAGTCCTGGCTGTCCTGGAACTCACTCTGTAGACCAGGCTGGCCTCGAACTCAGAAATCCGCCTGCCTCTGCCTCCCAAGTGCTGGGATCAAAGGCGTGCGTCACCACTGCCCGGCGTACCCAGCTTTTTAAATGTTGGTTCTGGGATGGAACTCTATGCACATTACCAACTCAACTATCTTCCCAGTCCCTGCCTGCATGTGTGTGGAAGTTAGAGGACAACTAGTTGTAGTCTTCCCTCTCCCCCCCCACCATGGTGGTCTTACGGATTGAACAGGGCCTGTCAGGCTTGAAGGCAAATGACCTATTCTTCAGCCATCTTGCCACCTCACTGCTTTGTTTCAAAGAGAATGGAGGCCTTAGCCTCCTGAGAACACCCATCCAGGTACTGTTCAGATCTTTGTCTCTTTGGAACAGATGGCTCTGCTGGACATCACGTTGGTAGGAGTTGGAGTTGGAGATTTGTCAGTCAAGTTTCTGATCAGTTCTATTCTACTGCGACAGTTCTTGGTCTAGAGAATCTTTAGGATATCTCCTCTTTTCTATCTTCACTGCAGGACACTGAGAGACTATTGCAAATACTTCTTATCCATGGTGGATTACAGATATCCCTGTAAGGAGTTCAAAACTAGGCCTTCCTGTGGTTTGCCATGCTAGCTTGACTTAGGCTTGGCTTAGTACACATGGTCTCCCCTCTGTACTGAGAACTACTGGAAGTCTCCCTGTGCCTAAGCACATTAGTTGCTTGGTTTAGAGGCAGTTCCTCTATGGACTGACTAGTTGACCTTATTTTGTTTCTTTTTCTTTTCTTTTTTTAAAGATTTATTTTTACTTTTGTTTCTGTGTGTCTGCATGTGGGTGGGTTCCCATGGAGGTGAGAGAAGGCACTGGCTCCCCTGGAACTGGAGTTACAGGTTGTTGTGAGCAGCCTGCTATGGGAGCTCCAAGAGCAGCAAGTGCTCCTGACTGCTGAGCCATCTCTCTAGCCCTTTTTTCTATATCTTTCCTATCTGAGTTTGTATTCATTGTGCCTGTGTTATTCTGGCTTCCATTTTTAGAGATCAAGAAAAGAGATTTTCTTGGGACCAAGCTTTGGAGGACTTGGTGTCCTTGATCTCTCTGTTTTATCTTTAGCTAGTGTAATGATTTACGTCAGTCAGTCAGTCCCTCAGTTCAGTCCTATATGAACTCAAGCAAACTGTAATGGACAGATAGCTATAGGTTTCAAATGCTAAGTGTTTTGTGACCAAGAGTGTAGCTAATTTCTCATGTGGTATTTATTCTCTAATCAACTCCCATGGGTGTGACTATTCCAAGGTACAGGTGAACTGTGGCCTATGAGTCAAATGTGGTCTACAGCTTGTTCTTGAATGCCTCTCAGACTGAGAATGACTTTATATCTGTGTGTTTGGACATATGTGTATATATATATGTGTATATATAGGATATATATATATCCTGTATATGAAAACATACATACACACATGTATACATATATGGTTCCCAAGGCAGGGTTTTTCTGTGTAGCCCTGGCTATCCTGAGACTCGCTTTGTAGACCAAGTTGGCCTCAACCTCTGCCTCCGAATGCTGAGATTAGAGGCGTGTACCACTACTGCCAGTGATTTTATGTTCTCAAAAGGCTGTAAAAAAAATCATGAGAATCAGAAGGCAAGCCACAAACTGGAAGAAAACATTTCATTAGAGACACAGAGCTTTTAAACCAACAGTAAAATGAAAAGTCTAATTTAAAAAAAAAAAAAAAAAAGGAAGGTTGAGGTTTTGACTGGCTCATTGGTAGAACATAGGCTCACCACACCTTCAAGCCCTAACACCACCATCACCCAAGTCAGAGGACTCAAACAGATGCCTTGGCCAAGAAGACACACAATGGCAGGTAGGCTTATGAGAACATGGTAAACACCAGGCTCCTTGGGAATTGCAAATTAAAGCAACATTCCAAACTAAACAGTACATGCTTACTAGAGTGGCCAAGATCCAAACCGACAGCACCAAGTGCTGGCAGAGATGTGGAGCAACAGGAATTCTTCATTGCTGATGCAAACCCAAAGTTGGTATAGCCACTTTTGAAGAAGCTTTGCAGCTTCTTATAAAATCAAATATACTCGTACTGTCTGACCAAGAGTCAAACACTTACACTGTGGTGAGATGCATGCATAGACAGAGTTACATAGAAACTTGTGGTGCTTCTTGCTCTGTTTTGCTGTGAACCTAAAACTTCTAAAATAGAGGGGTTTTGTTGTTTTTGTTGTTTCGTGTTTGGCTTTTTTAGTTGGATTGGGAATAGAGATCAGTGGTGAAGCCCATGCTTAGCACCCGTGAGGCTCCGGGTTTGATTCCCAGTACACAAACAGTGGTTTTTAAAAGGAGACGGTAAGGTGGCATCTTACAGAGCATTTATGTAGGGGATGAAGTGTTCAGGCTCTCTGGTCCCTGTCCAACCCTAGACTTCTGGACATTCAGAACCTCTAATTACAGAACTGTTCTTTGGAATTTTGGTTTTGTTTACAGGTATATGAATGACCTAAAGCTGCAAATAAAGACGGAGAGGGAACGGTGCCAACTGGTAGCAGGGCAAGAATGCCAATTCCTCCTCCCCCTCCACCCCCGCCTGGTCCTCCCCCACCTCCCACATTTAATCAGGTAGGTAATCTCTCCACTGGGCTGTCTTCAAGCCTATAAGAAAATTGGTGGGCTTCTCGTATGGTTATGTATGTTCTTTTTCTTTTCAGTCCTCTTTGTTTAAAACTTTATATTTTCTTACCTAACTGCTCTTTCACTGTGAGCTTTTTTGTTCTATTTGTTTCTTTTATATTTATTTTACATGGATGAGTGTTTTACCTACATGCACGTATGTACACCACATGCATGCCTGGTGCCCCAGGAGGCAAAAGAGAGCTCTGGGATCCCCAGGAGTGGAGTTGCAATCAGCTGTGTACAGCCAGACATGGTTCCTGAGAATGGAACCTGGGTCCTCTGCAAGACAGCAAATGTTCCTCATCACTGAGCCATTTCTCGAGCGCCGTCTCTCCAGCACCTAGCCCTCTTGTGGTTTTTTTTTTTTTTTTTTGGTTTTTTTGAGACAGGGTTTCTCTGTGTAGCCCTGGCTGTCCTGGAACTCACTCTGTAGACCAGGCTGGCCTCGAACTCAGAAATCCGCCTGCCTCTGCCTCCCAAGTGCTGGGATTAAAGGCGTGCGCCACCACCGCCCGGCCCTCTTGTGGTTTTGTTTTTGTTTGTAACAACAAAATCTTGCTATGTAGTCCAGGCTGGCCTTGTACTTGTTGTGTAGCCCAGACTGGCCTTAAATTTGCCTCATTCCCCTAACTGCTGGGATTACAGACATGTGAAAACCATGTCCACCAATTGTTTTAAATATCATCTATACTTTTAATATATATTTAAATTTTAACTAAAAATTTTCTGCTCGAATTTTGAGACAGGATTTCACTGTGTGACTGGCCTAGAGCTTGATCATAGGTCAGACTAGCCTGTAACTTGCAGTGTGAGCCTTTTTTCTCTTGCCTTGTAGATTGTAGGCTTGAGCAACTGCCCAGCTGCATCCTGGATTCTTGCAGTTACTTTGGAGTCTCATTCATAGACACATGTAATAGCAGGCAATGTAGATAGAGAACAAACAAGCCTGTCTGCCTCAGCTGGTTTGCGTTTCTGAGCAGTCCCCGTAACTATTCTATAAATAGGTTAGTCTCAGTTAAGTGGTGGAGGCACACGCCTTTAATCCCAGCACTTGGAAGTGAGAGGCGGATGATCTCTGAGTTCAAGTCCAGCTTGGATTACAGAGCAAGTTCCGGGACAGCCAGGGCTACACAAAGAAACCCTGTCACCAAAACCCAAAACCAACCAACGAAAAACAACAACAAAATCCAAATAGGTTAGCCTCGTTTCTCCGACATCTTGAGGAAGGGACGAGGATTTGAGGTGGTAGTTTCTGTTACCAGTTCATCTCTCCTATTCCCAGTCAGTTCATTACAATTATTAAAATCGGGGTTTTTTTTTTTTAATGTGTGGGTGACTTGCCTGCATGTATCTGTGTACCATGTGAATGCCTAGTGTCCTAGGAGGCCAGAAGAGGCTGTCAGATCCTGAACTGGAGTATAGACAATGATGAGCTGTCATGTGGGTGCTAAGAGTTGATCCTAGGAACAGAGTAGCCAGTGCCCTCGTCCATTAGTCCATCTCTTCAGCACCTTGGGTTTCGTTAGTTTTTGTTTTGTTTGTTTGAGCCAGATCTCACTCTGTAGACCAGGCTGGCCTCGAACTCTGAGATCTGCCTGCCTTTGCCTCCCCAGTTCTGGGATTAAAGGCGTGCACTACCATGCTCAGCCTTTGTTGTTTTGGGTTTAAGACAGGGGCTTACTTTGCAGCCCAAGCTGGTCTGGATATAACTAGTCCTCCTAGCTTAACCTCTGACCGTCTCCAGCTTTCATCGAAACCGTTCTTGCACTTTTCCTCTCTGTGCCAGGCACTGCAGAGTACTGAGTGGCAGTCCTGTTGTCATGAACCCCATAGTCAACAGCTGTAAACTATATTAGCTTAATAGGTAAATCATGTTGACTCTTGGCCTGCTTTCTTAATAAATTAACAAACATACAGATTATATGTACGAGTGGTTTTGCTTGCCCATATGTATGTGCATAGCATGTATGCCTGTTGTCTTCTGAGGAGGCCATAGTAGAACGTCAGATTAGGAGCAGGAGTTACAAGTCGTTTTCAGTTGACTGATGTGGGTACTGGGAACTGAACTCAGGTCTTCTGTAAGAGGAGCAAATGTTCTTCAAATTCTGAGCCAATTCTTTAGGCCCTGCATTCTTCTTAATTCTAAATATTGCTGAAAAATTTAAATATCTGCTTCCTGTGTAATTTCTTTTGTGCGGTATGGTCATGTTCTTGGATTATTTCACTGTTGGTTTGTGTCTTATTTAGGGTTTCCATTGCTGAGAAGAGACATCATGACTAAGGCAGCTTTTATAAGGGACATTCATTGGGGCTGGCTTAAGGGTTCAGAGTTCAGTCCATTATCATCATGGCAGGAAGCATGGCAGTGTGCAGACAGACATGATGCTGGAGAAGGAGCCGAGAGCTCACATTTTGAACTGAAGGTAGTCAGAAGACTGGCATCCTTAGGCAACTAGGAGCTCTCTCAAAGCCTACCCTGATAGTGACGCACCTTCTCCTCCAACAGGGCCACACCTCCTAATAGTGCCGCTCCCTGGACCGAGCATGTTAAAACTACCACAGTTTGTAAAACATCTTTATATGTTAAGATTCCGTAGATTCCAGGCTTTCCCTGTGCTTTAGTTATGTTAGAAATGTGAGCCTTTGTGCATAGTTAGACTCACTGTATCTCAGGCTGGACTTGAACTCCAGATCCTGATGTCTCTGCTGGCTAAGGTTATCAGGAGCATGTGCTACAATACCCAGCTTTAGAATGGTTTTCATTTCTAATGATTTATAGAAAGGTTCATTAGGAGTTTAAAAAGCTCTACCCGTGGGCTAGCAGCCTAAGTGTGATCCCATGGTAAAGGGAGAGAATTTACTCCTGAAAGTTGTCTTTGACCTTCATACGTGGTGAGCACATGCATGTGAGTGCACATGTGTGTGCACACACACAGAGACACAAATGGAATAATTGAAAAAAAACCAGCTCTACGCTTAATTAATGGTGTTAAGATTTAGCAGGTGAACTGGGGCTATAGCTCAGTGCAGAACACTTGTCTAAACTGCACAACGCAGTGCCCTGAGTTTATTCTCCAGCACTAACACACACACACCCCAAGTGCATTCAGAACCATAATGGTGGTGTGTTAGGTGTGTGTCGGATGTTCATTTGGGAATGCACTGTATCTGCTGATGTGCATGTGAAGCTGAGATCAGACCTGAGGGTGAGATGGAAAACTGGGAGGGTTGGGGAGACAGGTTACCCAGTCAGTAAATGCTTACGTCACAAGCAGCAGGGCCTCAGTTTACTCTGGCTCTTCTGTTTAAAAAACAAAACAAAAAACCAAAAAAACAGAAGCTGAGTGTAGCAGGAGGCAGAGGTGAGCAGGTAGGTCTCTGAGTGCAGGCCAGCCAAGGCTATGTAGTGAGACTTGGTCTCAACTAAAATTCAGTACAAACAAATACAAGAAACAAAGTGGAGAACATTTGAGGAAGATACATGATGTCATCCTCTGGTCTCCGAATGCATGTGCACAGACGTACATACACATGAATATGTCTGCTCACACAGATCTGGGGACTTCTATGTAGTATGCAAACCATGATTGGCTTTGCTCAGAAACATGTAGACGAAGGCTAAGGATGGAACTTGGGGAAATGACATAGAGAAAGATGAAGGATGTTGAAAGAGGCAGGGACTCTGAGGGAATCGCATCAGCATAGTCTTAGTCACAGTGTCTATTCCTGCACACAACATCGTGACCAAGAAGCAAGTTGAGGAGGAAAGTGTTTATTGAGCTTACACTTCCACATTGCTGTTCATCACCAAAGGAAGTCAGGACTGGCACTCAACACAGAGTGGGAACCCAGAGGCAGGAGTTGATGCAGAGGCCATGGAGGGATGTTACTTACTGGCTTGCTTTCCCAGGCTTGTTCAGCTTGCTTTCTTATAGAACTCAGGACTACCAGCCCAGGGATGGCACCACCCACAATGGGCCCTCCCACAAACTGAGACAATACCTTACAGCTGGATCTCATGGAGGCATTTCCTCAAGGGAGGCTCCTTTCTCTGTGATAACTCTAGCTTATGTCAAGTTGACACACAAAACCAACCAGTACAGCCATGTAAAACTCAGCTCAGGTTTGACAAGTATAGCTCTTGCAGTACAAGTCTGGTGACCTGAGTACAGACTCTAGAACCCAAAGTAGAAGTGAAACCAGCTCCAGAAAGTTGTTCTCTGACCTCTGCATGTTCAGAGGGGCACACACAGTAATGACAAATAACATTTTAAAGTTTGAAAAATTAGCACACCTTTAATCTCAGCAGTCCAGAGGCAGAAGCAGGGGATCTCTGACATCAAGGCCACCCTGGTCTACCGAGAGTGTTCCAGGACAACCAGAGCTACACATAGAAACTCTGTCTTGCCGCGCAGTGGTGGCGCACGCCTTTGATTCCAGCACTTGGGAGGCAGAGGCAGGTGGATTTCTGAGTTCGAGGCCAGCCTGGTCTACAGAGTGAGTTCCAAGACAGCCAGGGCTACACAGAGAAACCCTGTCTTGGAAAAAAAAAAAAATGGCTCAGTGTCTGCTTACGTGCCCTTGACTTTCCAGAAGCATTATCTCCTCAGTTTTGGGGTAGGGCTATCAGTGTCTACTGTTTAACATTATATAGAAGACAGAGGGCTAGGAGGGTGACAGGTTACGCTGGGATAAGATTCTGCAGTCAGGGTTGGGGTGTGGATTATTTTTACCAATTACTAATTGCGTGACCATCGAAAACGAGCTTCTTCTGATCCACACTTTCAAGTATGGATCGTGGGAGTCATGCTTTTCTGTAGGAGTATTTCAGGTTCTAAATGAGGTCATCTAAGCAGTACTTAGCACACTATTTGAGGCATAATCGGTGCTCAGCACTGCTGATGGTGCTCTGTTAACATGTCCAAGACGCACATTCATGGTTAGTCTTGCCTTCCTCTCCGAGGCTGGTGAGTTGGAGGGAGGTCTGTATCCTGCACAGAAGGAAGCGGGGAGCTGAGAAGAGTGGTTGCTCCATTGATACTGCTACCTGGCACATATGTCTGATTGTGCTACATCGGCATCTCACGGAAGCCCTGGCTTAAGTCACTTATTCCAAGCTGTGATAGGAGCTCTTCAGGGTAAACTTAACATTTCTTCCTCCAGGCAAACACAGAACAGCCCAAACTCAGTAGAGATGAGCAGCGGAATCGAGGCGCCCTCTTACAGGACATTTGCAAAGGGACCAAACTGAAGAAGGTGACCCACGTGAATGACCGGAGTGCTCCTGCCATCGAGAGTGAGTCTGAGCTCTTGTCCTAGGGTGGAGTCAGGATCCAGGCTTGGAAGACATCTCTGGGCCTCACATTTATTGTAGTTTCTCCAGTGGGCAAATGCTGTCCTGGATATCTTGACTTTCCTTTCAGCTGCAGAGTTGAATATCATGGACGTTCTTTCTAAATCTTCTCAGAGTTAAAACTCCTCCCCTGCAGCAGTAGTGTTTGTCAGGGCACATCCTTGCCTGTTCCCTCAGGAGACCACCACATTCCTGGAAGCTTCTTGTCTGAAACCAAGGATGGTTTTCTGATTGCTGTACATGTCCAATCTTGTAGGCACAGGAGAGTTTGCTCACACTTCATCCACCTGAGCCATTAGCTGTTCAGGAAGAGAGTTCTGGGAACTGGAGTTGTTTTCCTTCACCTTAAAGATGGCTCCTCTGTCCCTTTGTCCTTTCATTTTTGTTGTTTTGTCTTAATAATCCTCACGTGGAGGTGTGCAGCTACAAGGCCTACGTGTTCTTGAGTTTGTCTGTGTTTGGTGCTGCTGTTTGGCTACTGCTTGATAGAGGGACAGAAGTAAAGCTGGTACACTTGTAAATGAAAGCAGCTCAGAGCATGTGACCTGGAACCCTTCCCTGTGCCTTGCAGAGCCCAAAGGGAGCAGTGGTGGCTACGGGCCGGGAGCAGCTGCTTTGCAGCCCAAGGGAGGCCTCTTTCAAGGAGGAGTGCCGAAGCTCCGCCCTGTGGGAGCCAAGGATGCTTCAGGTATCTCAAAAATGATCTCAGGAGATTTCCTGAGTATAAGTGTTTTGACCTGTTCCAAGTGTGCTGTGGTTGAGGCCTGAGTTAGGGGACAGAGGGAGTAGAAACAAGAGTAGTTCCCAGTAGAGTGAAGCAAAGCTGAGGGGGAAAGTAAAGTGTGTTGTTTAACTTAGTAAAGAAAATGGCAGTTGCTGGTGCATGACTGCAGTCCTCCTTGGGAGGCTGAGGCAGGAGAATCCCAAGTTTGAGGGCAGCCAGAACCCAAAAGAGAAACAAGCAGATTTTAAGTGCTGAGCTGAGTTGTATCAGTGAGTTGAAGGCTTGCCTAGTATGTCTGAAGACCTGAGTTCAGTCCCTAGTACTGTAGAAACCAGGCTAGGTGCTGCACACGTGTAATCCCAAAACTTGGGAGATAGATACAGGAGAGTGAATCTCAGACATTCAAGGTCATCCTTGGCTACGTACTGAGTCTGAGGCCAGCCTAAGTTACATGAGCCCTGTCTCTAAATACATAAATACATTCAGAATATTTACACATAGACAAAGGTATACACACATAGAATAGATTTATTATTTGGCCCTTAAGAAGGAAATTAATGTTTTTATGAAAACACAGATAAACTTAGAAGACCTCAGTCAAGTGAAATAAGGAACAAAAAGACAAATAAGCCTGGCCTGGTGGCGCACACCTTTAATCCCAGAACTCAGGAATCAGAGGCAGGTGGATCTCTGAGTTTGAGGCCAGCCTGGTCTGCACAGTAAGTTCCAGGAACTAGGGCTAAACAGAACTACCCCCTCCCCCCAAAAAAGGGTAAAATAAATAAGTGTAATTTAATTTAAACGTGTTCAAGCTGTGTTGGCAGCATTTATTAACAGGTCCCGAATCTGTTTAGCCCTGATTAGAACTCAGAACTGAGGTTGGAGATGGAGCTCAGCGAGGGGAGGCGTGCCTGCACACACTGGGCTCTGGGCTCGATCCCAGGACCACAGGGAAGCAAGCACAGCCAAGGCTGGCTGGTGCTCTGATGGCTGTTGTGCAGGCTGCACTGAGGCTGGCTCAGCTAGGGCCCTGACAGATAGACTTTAACTCTTAACACAGTGTTGTCTTGTGTGTTTGTAGAGATTCCAGCTGGTAAGCCAGCCATGCAGGTCCCCAGTTCTCGAGCTGCTGCTCCAAGACCTCCGGGGTCTGCAGCCAGTGGGCGTCCTCACGATGATACCGAAAGCAGCCGAGCCTCCCTCCCAGAACTGCCCCGGATGCAGAGACCCTCCTTACCGGACCTCTCTCGGCCCAACGCCACCAGTGGCACAGGAATGAAGCACAGCTCCTCTGCACCTCCCCCACCACCTCCAGGGCGGCGTGCCAACGCACCCCCTACTCCTCTGCCTCTGCACAGCAACAAAGCCCAAGCCTACAACAGGGAGAAACCGTTGCCTCCAACACCTGGACAGAGGCTGCACCCTGGTCGAGAAGGACATCCTACTCCACCCCCTGTAAAGCCACCTCCTTCCCCTGTGAACGTCAGAACAGGACCCAGTGGCCAGTCTCTGGCTCCTCCCCCACCGCCTTACCGTCAGCCTCCTGGGGTCCCCAATGGGCCCTCAAGCCCCACCAATGAGTCAGCCCCTGAGCTGCCACAGAGACACAATTCTTTGCATAGGAAAACACCAGGGCCTGTCCGAGGCCTTGCACCTCCTCCACCCGCCTCAGCCACCCCTTCTTTGTTGAGTAACAGGCCACCTCCCCCAGCCCGAGACCCTCCTAGCAGGGGAGCAGGTAAGTGCTTGCTCTCAGAGTGTCTCTGCAGTGTTTAAGGAGAATAAGAATTAGGTGCCTTTTTATGTGTTGGTAATTGTTAGGGAAAAGAGAAAAAAGATCAGCCTGGTGGACAGCCTAGTAAATACATATAAATAATGCTGTATTTTGAATTGGGGGAGAGGTTAGAGTGAGAGAAGGCTTAGCCTCTATGGTGCCAGTGTGAAAAGGCCTGAAGTAGGACTATTCATAACACTTGGGACAGCAGGGAGGTCACTGGAAAGGACAAGGACAGCAGGAGTGAAAGTGGGGCTTTGTAAAGACTTGGAGCTGAACCAGTCCCACACGCAATGGATTGTTTTAGTTTTGAGACAAGGTCTGGAACTCATAGAGCTCCACCTGCCTCTGCCTCCAGAATGCTGGGATTAAAGGTGTCCACACCTAATTCTAAATAATTTTTAGTTAAAATAATAATAGTAAAACAAAACAACAACAACAAAAACCATGTGCTTGGTGGCTGGACAGATAGGTTGGTGGTTAAGAGCACTGACTACTCTTCCAGAGCACCAGGGTTAGTTTCCTAGCACCTACAGGTTGGCTCACAACTTTGTGTACAGAGTTTCAAAAGATCTGATGCCCTCTTCTGGTCTCTGTTGGCATCAGAGACACATGGTCCACAGGTATAAATGTTAGCAAAAACACTCATACACTCATAAAATATTAAATATTAAAAGGCAAAGCAAAAGCCCATGAGCTTGTTAGAGTAATGGAAGAACTCCAAGATGAAGGACGTGGTCCTCTGTGTGCAGACAGGGCGGGCGGGCAGGCGGACCCTGAGAACTGACGGTGTCTGAGTGCTGGGGGGACCCTTCTGTGCAGTGGAGAAGTGGTGAGTGGCTCAAGAATTAAGGAATGGGTGCCAGCTGGGTTGGAGGTGGAAGCAGGAGGCTGGCTTGAGCCACAGGAGTTTGAGACTGTCCTGGACAACATAGGGAGACTGTGTGTGACCCAAATGAGAAAAGAACATTTAGCAAAGCAGTACAGAAGCCTCAGTGAAGGCCTACTTGAATGTGTCTGTGTGCACACACACATAGAATGTTTGCCAGGGCACTTGCTGCTCTTCCTGAGGGCCTAGACTTGGTTTCCATCATCCTTATCATAGCTCAGTGCCTCCTGTAACTGCACTTCCAAGGGACCTGATGCCCTCTTCTGGCTTCCGTGGGTACCTGTACATGCAGGGTGCATATACAGACATATAGGCACACACACATGCATAACTAAGTCTAAATACAAATTAAAAAATAAGCCAGGCCTAGTGTCGTTTGCCTTTAATACCAGCCCTTGAGAGGCAGGAGGATCTCTGAATTTGAGACCAGCCTGGTCTAAAAGTGAGTTCCAGGACAACCAGGACTATTACACAGAGAAAACCTATCTCACAAAGCAAAAAGTAAATTAGTAAAAAGACCATTATGCTGTTTTGCTGCCTGGTTAGGCTGGTGTAGATTTGTGCTCTCCCTAGCAGTCTTTTAGGACCTACCCCAAACAGTAACCTGATACACTGATGATGTGGTATTTCCCTGCCTATAGCATAAGCTAGCTCAGGATTCTGTAAAGTTCAGGTAAAAAAAAAACAAAAAAAACAAAAAAAACAACTGCACTGAGTGGGTGGGGGTACAGCTAGAGAGATGGCTCAGTAGTTAAGAGTGCTGAGTGCTCTTCCAGAGGACCCAGGTTCAGTCCCCTGAACCTGCATGGTGGCTCATAATCGTTAAAGATTTATTTATTCTATATATATGAGTGCACTGTAGCTGTCTTCAGACACACCAGAATAGGGCATCAGATCTCATTACAGATGGTTGTGAGCCACCATGTGGTTGCTGGGAATTGAACTCAGGACCTCTGGAAGAGCAGTCAGTGCTCTTAACTGCTGAGCCGTCTCTTCAGCTCCTAAAGAACTGGTTAATGTGAGCAAATCCCATATCTTCCTAATCCTGTTCTGTAATAAGAGCAGAGAAAATAAAAGTGACATATGTGTCAAGGGGAGACAGTTCGGATGTCTGAAGACTTCCTGCTTTTACATCCTGGTAGTTGTATTCCGTCCATAAGCCATGAGCAGCATGAGCCAAGGCCTCAGCCTGCTGCCCCATCGGGAGCCAGAGCATCAGTGCTGGAGTAGCCCATGGTCTTCTGTGTGGTGGCTCTATTTGTTGTGCGACATTGGGCACATCCTTGACTCTCTTGGTTTGTTTGTATAGGAGCATATGGAAATGGAGTGCGCTGATGAGCTTACTGCGTTGTTGAGTCCCAGGATAGCCAGGGCTACACACAGACCATGTCTCGGGGGAAAAAAGAAAGAAAGGAAGGAAGGAAGGAAGGAAGGAAGGAAGGAAGGAAGGAAGGAAGGAAGGAAGGAAGGAAGATGGATGGATGGTTGAGACTCATCTCAAAAATGCAAAAACCATAACGAAACCCTAACAGACCAAAACTAAACAAACAGATAGAGGTGGGCAGCTGCAGCTCGGTATGGGAAGGTAACCGGAGACTTACCTCGCTACCTCAAGGCTTCTCTTAGAGCCTGAATCTGTCTTTTATTTTCAATGATTTTTTATAATGCTAATTTTTTTGAAAGATTTATTTATTTATTTATTTTATGTACATGAGTACAATGTCACTGTCTTCAGACACTCTATAAGAGGGCATCAGATCTCATTATAGACGATTGTGAGCCACCATGTGGTTGCTGGGAATTGAACTCAGGACCTCTGGAAGAACAGTCAGTGCTCTTAACTGCCGAACCATCTCTCTAGCCCATCAATGATTTTTTGTTTTTGTTCTTTGAGACAGGGTTTCTCTGTGTAGCCCTGGCTGTCCTGGAACTCACTCTGTAGACCAGGCCTGCCTCTGCCTCCCAAGTGCTGTAAGGGCATGTGCCTCCACTCACTGCCTGGTGTTGTATGATTTTTTTATAGTCGGTGTATAACAATGAATTTATTTCATTGCAGCATTGCTGTGCATCTGTATCGTTGGGCGTTTCTCACACTCGCTCCTTCACTAGATTCCCCTAGGCTGCTTTCTTGCTCCTGTCTCTCAAGCCTTTCTTTCCTTTGCCAGCTCCAACCCAAGCCTAACTGCTTTGGATTTTAATTGCAGCTCCTCCACCCCCACCGCCCATGATCCGAAATGGTGCCAGGGATGCTCCCCCTCCCCCTCCCCCTTACCGGATGCATGGGTCAGAACCACCAAGCAGAGGAAAGCCCCCACCTCCACCCTCAAGGACACCAGCTGGGCCACCCCCTCCTCCACCACCACCCTTGCGGAATGGCCATAGAGACTCCATCACCACTGTCCGCTCCTTCTTGGGTAAGTAGTTAGTGATTTTTGTCTACCAGTTCTGATGGTGGCTTCGCTGACAGGAGTCCAGGTTGCCCGTGGAGGTGGAGAATGCCCAGGGCAGTAGCCTTCGTTCACAGCAGGTCCTCTCCTGACTCTTACTCTTGAGTCCTGCTCCCAATCCATTGACCCTTTCTTTACATGAACAGACTGAAGTCCAGCCATCAGGAGTCAAGCTAATTTGAAAGCTACTCTCAAGTCCCCACAAGGACCTCTGGTTAGGCTTTCTGTCAGAGACTATCCTCTTTATTCATATATGTCCTAGAACTATCTATCCAAGGAGGAGATACTGGTTACTTAAACTCAGGAGGCGCAGGATGAAGCTCTGTGGAACAGCACTACCCTAATGTGTGCAAAAGCAAGGGCCAGGGTTCAGCCCCTTGCACTACAGAAAAAGCACAAAAAGCTAAGGAAGCTTAGCTCATGGAGGCCCTTGGTGTGAGCCCCAGTGCTACAAAAACAAAATATACAGAGGCCATTGACAAACCAGCCTTGGGTTTTTTTTTTTTAGGAAGTTATTTCATCTCTTTGGACCCCACTTTTCCCCCCTCTACAGAGCCGGGAAATGCCTAGATGAGTATTGGGTCATCCAGGTTATAACTTGAGGACTCTACTTTAGAGAGTTTACCTCATGAGTTCCTCACTTCATGGTCTGGAATGGAACCACAAGAGAAGATTTCCAGAGGTGTTGTCAGGCCTTTGTTGAAGACTTGTAGAACAAACCATGAGGTTTCCTGTGACCCTCAGTACTGTAGGATGTTTAGTGGGTTCCTCCGTTGCTACCCCCCCCCCAACACAATCCAGTCTGTTTTTAACAGACACACTAGGGGTTTGCTTTGAACATACATCCATATTACAGAAATCTTTAAAATGTAGTAGGACATTGTGGCACATGTCTATCATCCCAGCACACAGGGTTAGCTGAGTCAGGAGAATCCTAAATTCAAAACTAGCCTGTAATACATAGCAAGACCCTATCTAAACAAACAAATAGGAAGCTTTGAAGCAAAAAAAGGACCCTTGAAGTTTGAACAAGCTATATCCATAAGGCTCATAGAATGTGGGGTGGGGCCAGCATGGCTATGTGAAATGCATTGCAGGGCAATATAGGATAGCCTTGGGTGAAAGAAAACTTTCCGGTTGAAACTCACCAGCTAGAGACACATATCCCCATTTGAAGCTAATGACTACCACCTTGTAAATTTAATTCAGTTCATTTCCCATAACAATCTTTTAAGCTCATGGTGTTTCTGGAACAAAGTGATACTTCTTTCTGTGAGCTCACACACTTTTTTGTTTGTTTGTTTGTTTGAGACAGGGTTTCTCTGTATAGCCCTGGCTGTCCTGGAACTCACTCTGTAGACCAGGCTGACTTCAAACTCAGAAATCCGCCTGCCTCTGCCTCCCAAGTGCTGGGATTAAAGGCGTGTGCCACCACTGCCTGGCTGCTCACACTCTTTAACTCCTTTCCAGTGGTGTCTGATTTTGGGTGGAAAGATTTGAAAAATCAGCTTAAAATGCCTTTAGACTAGGAGTTTTAAAAGGGCCGGTACTAGCTCTGGTCATGGTGGTACACACCTTGATCCCAGCACTTGGGAGGCAGAGGCAAGCTGGGCTCTCCGAGTTTGAGGCCAGCCTGGTCTGCACACTTTTCAGACTAGCCAGGTATACAAGGTGAGACTCTATCTTAAAAACAAACGACAACAATAATAATAAATTGTCTTAGTTTAGGTTATTATTGCTGTGATAAAACACCATGACCAAAAACCAACTTGGGAAAGGGCTTATTTGGCTTATACTTCCATATCGCTGTTCATCATTGAAGGAAGTCAGGACAGGAACTGAACAGACAGAGCAGGAACCTGGAGGCAGAAGCTGATGCAAAGGCCATGAAGAGGTGCCACTTACTGGCTTGCTCTCCATGATTTGCTCAGCCTGCTTTCTTAAGAGAACCCAGGACCACCAGCACAGGGATGGTGCCACCCACAACGGGCTGAGCTTGTCACCATCAGTCACTAAGTAAGAAAGTGCCTTATAGCCAGGTCTTATAGAGACATTTTCTTTTTTTTTTTTTTTGGTTTTTCGAGACAGGGTTTCTCTGTGTAGCCCTGGCTGTCCTGGAACTGACTCTGTAGACCAGGCTGGCCTTGAACTCAGAAATCCACCTGCCTCTGCCTCCCAAGTGCTGGGATTAAAGGTGTGTGCCACCACCACCGGGTGAGACATTTTCTTAATTGATGTTCCCTCCTTTCAGAGAACTCTGGCTTGTGTCAAGTTGACATAAAACATAAATAAAGGGACTGTAGAGAAAGCTCACAAGTATTGACTACTCTTTAGAGAACCAGGTTCAACTTCCAGCACACACGTGGGGCCTCACCAGTCTGGAACTCCTGTCTCAGAAGTCTGATGCTCTCCTCTGGCCTCTGTGGGCACTGGATGCACATGATGGCAAAACACTCAACACACACAATTTTTAAAAATGATTAATGTTTTTCTCTGTATGTATGTGTTTGTATGTGCATGTGTCACCATACCCCCAGCCTAGTGCTGTGGATCCAAACTGAAGTCCCTACACCTGCATGACAAGCACTTTATTGACTGCTCCACCTCCCCAGCCCCCAGAGTAGGGGTCTTTGGGTATCCACTGTACATGAGATGCACCCAGGGCAATGCTTCTGCTGGCGTGGGATCTTCAGTTTGGTGGGCAGGGCAGGCTCTTCATTTAGCAGACCCCACAGGAGATTAGTAAATAGGGAGAGTCCTAAGAATCAAAAGTCTGTGGGAGGGATGACTTCATAACTCTGTTCTTTTCACAGATGATTTTGAGTCTAAGTACTCCTTCCATCCAGTGGAGGACTTCCCTGCTCCAGAAGAATATAAGCATCTTCAAAGAGTGTACCCCAGCAAAACCAACCGAGGTGCGAGGGGAGTGAAACAGCTTCCATGATTGTATGCAGCGTGGCTTGTGTGTTCTCTGAGGTCAAATGTGCTTCTATGCATGTAGATGTCAGTGGGTGTTTCTCCTTCCACCAAGTGACCCTGGGGATTAAACCCAGGTCAGCAGGCTTGTCAACAGGCACCTACCTACCAAGCCATCCAGCCCTAGTCTCCTGATTTTAAAAATTGACTTAAAGAGCCTGTCGTGGGGGCTGGAGAAATGACTCAGAGACCCTGAGTTCACACACATGGGGGCTCACAACAGTCTGTATTGTATCTAGTCTCATGGGATCAGATGACCTCTTCTATACAGATAGATGTATAAAACATTCACATACATTAAAAACATAAATCTTAAATAGAAAAAAAGGCTGTCTATTTCAGAAGTGTTATTTAGTCTGGCATGTGCACTCACTATGTATATTTTTTGTTTTTTTCTCTTCCAGCTGCCCGTGGAGCCCCACCTCTGCCGCCCATTCTCAGGTGAAGCCTCGCATGGTCCTGCTCCTCAGGAAAAGGATGGACCTCCTCTTCTCAGATGGTCCCCCAACCCCTAACACCTGCATGAGAGCTCCTACAGTGTTTCTCCAGTGCAACCGACCCTAGACTCTGAGCATCCTCCCAGCCCAGCGCCATCTATGCATCTCCTCTCTGGACTTGGTGATTGGACTCTTCCTATTGGCAGTAGGGTCTCATGCCCAGATCCACCTTCTTCCAGCAAGCCCTGCCTGCCAGGGGAGGAGAAAGCTTCCATGTCTCCCGCTTTCTTCCAGGGAAAGGTGCCTTGTTATGGTGAATGGACTCACATTGGGCAGGGTAGAAAACGGAACCCCTGTCTCTGTCGTTCACTGAGGGCGAAGTGTGGTGTGTGCATTATAGTCCATATTTAGGAGGTTGGTGTGGCCAGGACTTCTGAGGAAAGGGGATTCCGTGATGCAGGAAGGGGATTTGCAGAGAAGTGATCTGTTTTAAAGGTCAGGTTACAGAAAGGACAAGGAAATGCGTCTTCTTCAGTTTTAAGAGTGTCTTGGTTTTGTTCTCATCCCTCTTCCCCTATCCCAAGAGATGAGTTGTACATACACACTAACTACTAATCAGTTAGCTAAATAGTGAAAGGGCGTGAGGTAAATGAGGATCATTTTAGAGCTAGTCAGCTCTTGCGCAGCTAAGGGCCAGGGCTGTCCAAGCTCTGGGGCCTCCTGCCCCTTCTCTAGGGTGCTAGGCTGAAGGGTGTCCTTTCCGAATCCCTCAAGAGAAGAGTCACTTTTTATTGAGGGCATTGTCCATTCCCAAGTCACAGACCCTACAGACTTCTTATAAGACATGATAAGATAGGGCCTTAACCACACCCTCCTGATTGCTTCAGTTTTTTCTGAGTAACCCTGTAGTGGTCAGCAGCCTGAGTCCTTCAGCCCCTGGGGAATGCTCCAGGGGGACTAAGAAGGAAGTCAGGAAGCATTCACTTCACAGGAGTGTCTGGCTCTTCAGGGCCAGTGAGGTCTTGACAGCCTGCTCATACTGAGAATCTCATACCCATCTGACAGCAACAAGCTCTTCCTGTTTCCTCTGCCACCGTACCTTCCTGAGACTGCAGGGTTTAAGGCCACAGAATAGAAAAGGGAACTTCAGGGGGATATGCAAAGTCCTCTAAACCAAGAAACACAAAGACTTAGGGAGGCACGCCACCATCCAGGAGGCAAGTCTTCCCTGGCGGCCAGCAGTTCATTGTTTCTTTGTCTTCCAGGTTGTAGGTAAACAGCACAGGAAGTGGATGTCCCAACTGAGGTTGTTGGTCTGTTGGCCAGGGAGTGTCTCTTCTCCAACAGCAATGTGAGGCACTTGAACTCTATACCCAAAGAAGTTGGTTTCCTATGGTCCTTGATCTGGCCACAAGCTGCTCAAATCTTGCATGACAGTAGGGAGACGGGACTGTTCTATGAATTGGGTAGGGGAAGCTAGTGAAGAACTTCCATATACACCACAGGGTTAAACTGTCATAAGAACTGACCGACCTTCCTTCCTTCCTTCCTTCCTTTCTTTTTTCCTTTCTTATTTTTATTCTTACTCTTTTTTTCCCCTGAGACAGGGTTTCTCTGTGCATTCCTGGCTGTCCTGGAACTTACTCTGTAGACCAGGCTGGCCTCAAACTCAGAGATCCCCCGCCTCTGCCTTCCAGGTGCTGGAACTAAAGGTGTGCGCCACCACACCTGGCTCATAGGGACCTTTCTAATCTAGTTGAACATGGGCTTAAGGATCTGTGCGTAATGCCCGGTCAAACCCAAATCTTCCAGGACTGGTAAAGGTGGACCTGACTTGGTTTATTTATTTATTGTTACTCATTGCCAGCACCTGGACCACTTGGACTCCTGGGGCAGCGGTTAGATCTCACCAGACTTTTAATTGTTCACTATTTAGCCTTCTTCTCACATCTGTTAGCAGTTACGCTCCCAGCGTCCTAAAGTGAACAGAGCTAAGAGAGGGAGAAGCTGATACTGTGAGAGTCCAGGGTAGATGCTAAGTGTTGAACTTGACTGTGAAGTCTTCCCATTTGTTGTTGAAATGGGAGCTGATGCCTTTTGTACAATGTTATCAAAGTGTGAAAATTTTCCCTTACTGAAACATAGAACATCAAAAATGTATATGTGTGTGTATTTATGTATATGTGTGTATGTACATGTATACATGCACACATATATATTTGTATACACACACACATACATCTACTCACAAAGCCAAACCCCAGCTTTTTGCTCGGGCTGATGATACCTTCCTCGACTTGACCTACCGCCCTTTCTCTTCCCCAGATTCAGACTGTGTCATGTGGGTATCAATGATATTTTCATTGTCTTTGCCTGGTGGAACAACCACCAAAAAAGGCCTGGGGTTAGATCTGAGTTGGTGAGTCTGCTCCTCCAGTTGATGGAGTATGTTGATTACATACCTAACTTAAATGTCTTTGCCTTATTCATTATTTGGTCCTGCTGTTAATAACAAATTTATTATCATGTATATTTGCTATTGAAGATGGGAATGTGATCCTCAAAATTGTTGTCTATTTTGTATGTTGTACAAAGCTTGTAACACAGGTCTAAGGTGGGTGGGCTGTAAGAACACTGACAATTTCCCCTTTTAAACTGTCCCTTATGTCCTCATGGGAATGTTGTCTCTTCAGTGGAAGATTGGATGGTCTCATGTTGAGGCTATTACTTAGTCCCTTTTATTCCCTTGTCCCCTCCCAAAGGGGAGAGACATTGCCCAGCTAAGCAACCAGAAGCTTTGTCAACAGCTCTCATGGTATTTTTCCCTAATGGGAAACCCTCCGTAGCTGTTTTGTACTGCCCTGCCTGAAGCCAGGCAGTAGTTCTGATTTTCAGATGATCTAGATGCCCCTTTCTCCAGTCACCAAACCTGGACCAAAGTACTTCATATTCCAGGTGTGGTTTCCTCTCTCCTGGGATTTTTGCTGCAGCTGCAGAGTCCTGCCCTTTTCACAGCCTCGGCCACTTACGTGAGCCGCTAGGGCTATCCCAGCTGATGGACGTGAGGTGGTCATCACCAGGAATTCATCCCTGCCCCCTTTCCTAGGAAAGGCAAAGAAACTAGTCATTGGCCAGTGCCCTGGGAGAATCCCCTCACCCAGTGGCTTCCCATCTTGAAGTGAGACCCGGACTTACCTCCAGGAGAGGTGAGGGCGGGGGTAACTGTAAATAGACGTGCTGCAGAGCAACTCAGGGTTGGGGTACGTTTTAATTCTCCTGATCACTTGAAAAATAATCTGTAGGCGGAATGCTTCTGGAGTGTGGGAGAAAGGTGACTCCAGGGTTCTTGCTTCTCTGAGGCTCTGGGGTGGAGTATAGGACGCCAGAGGCTCTTTGATAGCACGACTGACTGCGCTGTCTGTCCTTCTGGAAACCCAACCTGCCATCAGCTGCAAATCAGCTTCTTCACATTCCGGGTGTAAGCTTTCTTTCCCTGTGACTCTCAGTCCCTCGCTATGTGGTCAAGGGAACTCTGTTAAACCACCCAAATTCAGGGAATGAGAGGGAAGAGAGGAGGCCATTATAATTCTGCCTTCAAGACTCATTTCTCGAAAACAAAAAAAAGATAACCACCTTCAATCACAGGCAAAACAAAACCAAAAAACCCAACAGCAACCATTTAACTGAAGGAAGGGTCTGGTTCCACTCCACCCCATGTTCATTGTGCCTTTACTTGTGTTAGATCTCTCTGCTTTCTTCCGCCCCTCTATGACGTCATTAATTAAAACCATCCTTGATAACCGCTGTTTCCTTTCTGCTCTTGTTTCTTACAGCTTGGTGGGTTTCTTCTCTGATTCTCTTCCATCTTACTCGACTAGTGGTAGAGGGGCTTAGCAACCCCCCCCTTTTTTTTTTCATGTCTAACTCTTCTCCTTTCCCACAGTTTCCAGCCTGGAAGTTACAGTCAACACTGAGTAAGAGACCAGAGTGACGTGTGTGCGTGTGCATGTGCGCGTGTGTGTCCATCCGCATGTGGGTCAGATTCTTTGAAAAATAATTTATTGTGTGATTTATCTTGGAGTTGTTGGGGGTCACAGTGCTGCTCCACAATAGCGGGGATCCCTGCACCTCACCCCTGGCGTAAAATGTATTATCTGGTCTCAGGTTGGATTGTTTGGTACATTTCTTTCTGTGCAGTTTAATTAAACCTTAAGCACAAACAAAAAAAAGAAAACTGTGTATTTTTGTCATGAGCAATAATACTGTTTCAAGTGAAGGCATGTAGAGAGGAGGAAGCCCACTGTTTCCTATTCTGGGTAAGTGTGCCAGTGTGGTTTCAGGCTCCCTTAAGAAAGGATGTGTGGGCCGGGCAGTGGTGGTGCATGCCTTTAATCCCAGCACTTGGGAGGCAGAGGCAGGTGGATTTCTGAATTCAAGGCCAGCCTGGTCTACAGAGTGAGTTCCAGGACAGCCAGGGCTATACAGAGAAACCCCGTCTCAAAAAATAAACAAAAAAAACAAAGGACGTGTGGATGTGTGTAGGAGAAGCATCTGAAGCTTTCTGAGGGCTTTCTGTGGGTTTTAAAAATCACCATTTTGGCCTGGCTGCCCAGTGATTCTGTTTTGTATTTGCTGCTTAACTCCTCATTGCCCCTCTCTGAAGGACCCCCAGAGGCTCCTTTCCATGGGTTCTGTTCCTTGTAACCCCTTAGATTCTATCTTCATGTGCCTGTGCTTTGAGGTGGATTCTCAACCAGACAGTAGAAGAAAAGGTGGGGCAGGGCCCTCATCTTCTGAATCTCTGCATAGCCCTGGCTGACCTGGAACTCACTCTGTAGACCAGGCTAGCCTTGAACTCAGAGATCATCTTGCTTCTTCCGGTGCTGAGCTTCTTCCGGTGTGCACCACCACATCTTCACGGCTTTTTCAGCCGAAATCTTAGCCGGTTTTCTTGAGCTTTGCCTCTAGGTGTTAAAATTCAACCAAGCTTCTTTGTCTCCCTAACCCTGCTGACAGAACTGCAGCAGAGTCCACTGAATTTGACTTGTACTTTCACTGCTAGCCAGTTACTTCCCTCTGGGTTTATAATGGGTGTGTGTGCAGATCACTCTAATGGAATCTCGGTAGATAGAATGGGTGTGTGTGTGTGTGTGTGTGTGTGTGTGTATCGCTCTCAGGGAATATAGATCAGAAAAACCTTCCGGGGAAGGGTTACTACCAGAGTGGCTGAATTGCTGATTATTTGACCCCCATTATTGTTATTAATATAAATAATAAACTATTTATTGATTTCATTGTTCTTTCTGACTTAATAGCCTGCATATAGCACTTGCTTAAATGACCCTCAACTTCCAGCTCTGTAAATTTATCTCACTCGGGTAGTATTGTTGGTCCATGCGTGTACCTTTGCACATGCTCAGAAAGATGCCAGACAGGTCTTTCCAGTGTGACTTGATTCCTGCGCCATGACCCTGTGAGGAGTTAAGCGATAAGAACCAGCTCGCTCCCTGACGATTGCTCAGGCCCAGCTGTGCGTGCTGTGAAGGTGCCTCTTAAGTATTTCCTGGCCCAGACTGTGAACTGCAACTCGTGGGAAGGACGCTGCCTTCCTCTTGCTTCTCAGTACTCTGTAGATGGTAAGATGCCAATCTCAGGATCCTGACCACACCAGAGAAGAATTACAAGAAGGGTTTCACCTTTGACACCACCAACCCCCAGTCTGATCTGTTTTTAACACATAATTCAATTTATTCTTTTACGTTTATGGTTTTGAGATTTAGAGGACTATATATGTGCTTTACAACCATAAAAGTCATTTCCTGCAAACAGTGGACATGAGCCTGACAGAATGTCCTTTTCATCCTTTTCGGCAAGCAGTTGTCATGGACTTGATGGCAGGCATCAACACATGTAGATGACTGAGACCTGGTCTTTGCCTTCAAAGCCCATAGTCTAGTAGATCAGGAGGAAGCTATGCAGGGTATTGAAAGACTTTCATAGGGGCTGACCAGGAAGGAAAGTAACACATTCCAGCCGGGAACCTGAGGACAAAGGTACAGAGATGAACTGATATGTGTGAGGTTACTGGAGGAGAACCCTCCAGCAGATAACCTTTTACAGTCAGTCCCGACCTTTTGCCTGCATGGCCACTCTTGCAAACTTTTCTTGAGTTGGTGCTTTTTTTTTTTTTCTCCCAGTGAATGCTTTCTTAGGCTGCAATATGCACATTAAACACAACCTCCCTGCTCCCTCCCCTGTAACTCAGGTATGTCATGTGTTACCATCTCCTAAGCTGGCTGGGCATATATTGCTATTTCAGATGCTGTGGGCAGGTTTTAGGTCCTCAAGTTACAAAGATGCGAGCCATAGAGGTGGTCTCGGGTTTCACTGTCCCGGTAGAAACACGCTGGAAGCCTTCCTTCCATGGTGGTTTCTCCCACTCACGGTAGCTTGCTTTCTTCTGGAGTTCTTAGCTGCTAGAAAACCTTTACAGAAGGTGGTCCACACCTTCACCATCTTGACCTGTTTAGAACCCAACTCTCTTTAATCTTCCTCCATAATTAAGTAGTAAAGAGTTTAGTTTTCTGTCAGAGTTTAAAATGCAAATATCAGCTCTTCTAACTAGTTATAAAAACTGCCTAGGGTGCTTATAAAGACTAATTAAGGTGATAGAGGTAAAATACCGAGCTCAGCCCTACACTCTTAAGGACTCCTTGACTGTTACCAGCTATTTGAAATAAGAGTTAACTGGTGTTTGTCCTGTTGCTCACCTATTGCTAGTTTTGTGTCTATTTTATTTTGTATCGGAGAGTAAAAGATATATTTTATAGCCAGGTGTGGTGGTGCATATCTTTAATCCCAGCACTTGGGAGGCAGACCCAGACAGATCTCTGAGTTTGAGACCAGCCTAGTCTCCATAGTTCCAGGACAGTCAGAGCTGCCAAAAAAAAAAAAAAAAACCCCAAGAACGAAATCCCATAAACTTTACCATTACCTAGAATTGGGTTCTGGTCTTTAAAAGAACTAGAGGTGGTCTCGAAAAACCAAAAAAAAAAAAAAAAAAAAAAAAAAAGAACTAGAGGTGGGTTATTAACCTTGGAGCTTGGCCTGCCTGCAAATGACTACTCTAATTTACATTTTTCATTAAATTCTCAGCTTGCCTCTCCGATAACTGTCTTTCCTGGCTCCGAAACCCTGGTGCTTGGTCATAAAAGATTTTCAAATTAAAGGGACATAATTTTACTCCCTACGATGTGTAAATAGATTAACGTTAAGAAGGCCCTTGGAATGTATTACCTTGAAATTGTTACTTTTGGTGTTGGACTTGTTTCTCACTTCTCAAGCGCAAGTCAACAAATAGTGAGATGATGTCAGTTTGCTTATATAGGTCTGGAACTTGCCCCCCCAAAATACCCTGGTTCAAGTCATCATCTCCTCCCCCACAGAGAACTATGCGATCTTATACATTCATTTGCGTCATGCCATACAGGATCGCCCCCCAAAGAGTAGGACTTGTGTAGTAGCCCTCTTAAAATCTAGCCCACCACAATAATGAAAATAGGTACATTTGGCAGAGAAGAGGAGCAAAGATAGCTCAGTATAATGAGAACGCTAGGCAACGCGGGGAACAAAGATACCCCAGTAGAAATAAAAATGCGGAAGTAGATGTGCGTGGAAGCAAAAAAACTACACTTCCCGCCAGGCCTTGCGCCGTGGCGTGCTCGCTAGCGCGCGCCTTTCCTCGAAGGTCTCACGTTAACGCCTTCGTGTTGGGCTCTGAGACCTGGGGCTGTCCTATTGGCTGCCGGCCGTCACCGGCGAAGGCGTGGTGATTAGTGACAACTAATCAGAAGCCTGGCTGGACTTTGGCGGGAGTAGAGAACGCTGAGATAGAGCAGATTTGGCGCGAGCTGACTTTGCAGCTGCTGTGGATCTTGTGGCGGGAGAGTCCTTGCGGTCGTGATCCGGACACGAAGAGTGTGCACTGAGTGACACAGCCCTAAAGAGTGAAAAGCTCCGTGAGGTCTGGTGCCCAGAGAGTTGAGGCTGTTCCGAGCAAGGCCGGTGGAGAGCGGAAATCGCCTGAGGTCTGAGGCTGGGTCAGGGAGGGGGTTGTGAGCTCTGGAAGCGGTTCGAGCACGGAGTGTTGGGAAGGAGCAGAGAGCTGCTGGGAGGAAATGGTGTAGGGTGGGGTTGAGAGCCTTGTGGAGTGCTGGCTAGTTGTGCGCAGAGGCGGACGGAGCTGCACTACCTGGACTTAGGAGAGCCTAAATGTGACGGTCTGGAACTAAACTAGTGCTAAAAGACGTCTCGCGTGTCTACAGTGAAGGAACTAGAAGTATTATAGAAATCACTGGAAATAAACTTCTGGCATCGCTCAAGTGTAAGAACTTGGGTCTGGTCCTAGGATGCCCAGGGTGATAGCCATGTGTTTCTGTGACTTTAAGAGAGAGCTAAGAGTTTCTACGTCTGACGTATGATAAGACTGTATAGTGTGTAATATGTGTATAACGGAATGTTAGACGTACTAGGCATTACCCTTTATTACATAGATTTGCATGGGAAGCAGAACTAAATGTTAGAAATGCTATGTTAACATGATTTTTGGAATGCTGGTCCCCAGTATGAGTAAACTCTGTGTTTTTCTCTTGGCTTCCCTGATTGGCCTTTGTAGCCAGTTGTGTGGCCGTCATGCCTCAAACCCGATCCCAGACACAAGCTTCCATCAGCTTTCCGAAAAAGAAGCAATCTAAGACCCTGAACAAAACAAACTCCCGGGACAGTGAAGTGAAGCTTAGAAACGCCCAGCCTGTACCCACCACTCCGTGTGCAGACGTAAAAATTCTGCCTCTCAGTCCCCGAAAACGTTTGGGTAAGCTTTCCACTTTGTGACTGAGCGCTTAGCCTTTCTTGCCTTGATGCTGAGATGCCTGGCTTTTAAAACCAGGGCTGTGTTTGCTTTCATAATGGCTGCTAAGTGTGTACCAAACTTCGCTGTTTAGCTGTACACTAACAGAGCTCATTTGCTTAGGAACCCAGGGTTGAGCTTCGTTCTCCTGGTTCCGTCCTTTACATTTTCCTTGCAGTTATAGTGTTGTGAAATTTGACTACGTACTTGTGAAATTAAGAAGCGAATGAGCCGCGAGGTGGTGAACACACTTTTAATCCCAGCACTCAGAAGGCAGAGGCAGGTGGATCTCTTGAGTTTGGGGCCAACCTGGTCCACAGAGTGAGTTTCAGGATAGCCTGGGTTACTCAGAGAACCCCTGTCTTGAGAAAGAAAAAAGAGGAAACCAATTAGATGAGATTCTTAATATTTTAACAATCATTTCCATTTTTAGATGTGTTGTTTGGGGTTTTTTGTTTTTGTTTTTTCAAGACAGGGTTTCTCTGTATAACCTTGGCTGTCCTGGAACTCACCCTGTAGACCAGGCTGGCCTCAAACTCAGAAATCCACCTGCCTCTGCCTCCCAAGTGCTGGGATTAAAAGTGTGCGCCACCACTGCCCGGCAAAGGTTTTTTGTTTTTGTTTTGGAAAAATAATCTCTAACTCAGGCTGGCCTGGAACTCACCTTGTAGCCCAGGATTGCCTCAAACTTGAGATCCTTCTCGAACTGCCCTACATCCTGTGTGTGTAATGGCACAGCTGCTGGATGTTAGGGGTTGAACCCGAGACCTTATATGTGTCGTACCATCTGCTCTGTGTGCACAGTCTAAGAGCTTTTTGTTTGTTTTTTTGTTTTGTTTTTGTTTGTTTTTTGTTTGTTTGTTTTTTGTTTGTTTTTTTTTGTTTGTTTTTTGTTTTTCAAGACAGGGTTTCTCTGTGTAGTCCTGGCTGTCCTGGAACTTACTCTGTAGACCAGGTTGGCCCCGAACTCAGAAATCCACCTGCCTCTGCCTCCCAGGTGCTGGGATTAAAGGCGTGTGCCACCACCGCCCGGCTCAGTCTAAGAGCTTTTGTACTGTTGTTAGTGGTAAATACTCCTCCATGTGTATGGAGAGCATCTGTTGTGAGTGGGGGTGATTTGGCCATATCCAAAGATTGTTCCCGTTGAGGGGATGGTATTGGAACAGTGAGTAAAGCTAACGAGGCTGCTGGACATCCAACAGTGCACACAAACAGCTTCCTATATCGGGAAGTTATTTATCCCGAGATGTCAGTAGCCCCATGGTTGATAAGTCCTATTTTTAAAACAACCTTACAATTTTACCCCGCTTGAACTCATTTGGTTTCTACCCAACGATAAGACTCAGGGGTGCCATCTGGTGGCCACATTTGCTACTTGGTGAGAAGTTTCTTTTTTGATTCTGAATCAGGTAGAAATTCGCCTCTTGTCAGTGATGGTGGTGCACACCTATAACCCTAGCACTCGGGAGGCAGAGGCAAGCAGATCTTTTGTGAGTTCAAGGGCAGCCTGTGTTACCAGTACAGCCAGGGCTACACGGAGAAATCCTAGTCTCAAAAAAGAAAGAAAAAGCCGGGCGGTAGTGGTGCACACCTTTAATCCCAGCACTTGGGAGGCAGAGGCAGGTGGATTTCTGAGTTCAAGGCCAGCCTGGTCTACAGAGTGAGTTCCAGGACAGCCAGGACTACACAGAGAAACCCTGTCTCAAAAAACCAAAGAAAGAAAGAAATTAATTCACCTCTTTCCGAATGTGGGAGAAGTCTCTGGTTCTTTTTCTGCTCTCCACTGTGGAGGACCGTGTTCTGCAGGCGGTGTTTTAGGTGGCCGGTGTTCTGCAGGCGGTG